AATCTCTTTAACATCTTGTTTTTTTAGTCTAGACTAATGATTCAACAGGTCAAGTTACAGTAACTTGGCTGGAAAGACTAATGGTACCCTAAAGTAGTTTAAGCTCTTAACCCATTTAATTAATCTGGAAAGGGAAAAAATGTAAGGCAGAAGGATTAGTTTATGATCAAATTACTTGGCTAAGATTACACTGATGCAAATGTTTAAATATTTTTTAAAAGAAAGAAAAAAAAAGCTTCTTTGTTTACGTGAGCTATTTCTAAGTAAAACAAACAGCAGAACATTCAGCTGATTATATTTAAATTCTTTCCACAGTGTTCACTTTGAGAGGGAAAAAGGAAAGGAGGCGCAGGCAAACAACAGAGAGTGTGCACGGAATAAAAAGAAATAGACCAAGTCAAGTGGAAAGAGAAGTTAGTACCCTAATTAATGAACCCCAGTGTGTTTTTCTCTCCCTCTGATCATTGGAAGGGAACATGGCGAGAGTGTACAGCAGGCTCAGCTCATTACCGCTGCCTAAAACTGGAGCGGAACATTCCAGAGAACAGCATTGGTTTGTGTCGGAGACGGGACGCCTGAGCTCACTCATTCCAGCACCGGTGGGAGCCAGAGCAATAGCCGGCCCACTAAACCAAGAGACTGCCACTCCATGGGGAGCCTCTGATTAGGGCCAGGCTGATGAACTTTACCAACAAAACTCTTTCCTGCTTCTTTATCTGTTTTCTGCCAAATCTCTAATTCTACTCTAAACTCATGGTCTCTGGCTGGGTGCTCTTGAAAAACCAAGATCCCGGACGAACCCCCAACCAAAGCTGAATCTAGTGTCATCTGGTGCCCTAACCTTTCATACCCCAAAAATCTGATTTCAGACAGCTAAGGCCATTTTGTTTTGGTGCAGATGTGTTGATGTAAACAGAATTTCTCCATTTTGAGAGACTCCACCTAAAGTTTCATGCTAAAGCTCTCAGACAGTTGTGTAATAGTAACTTTCTTTTTTAAAAGTGCTGGGCGATAGTTTACTGTGCCAACCCAGCCCTGCAAGCCCAGTAAATTAGAGGGCAGAGAATTCCTCTTCTCTCCAAACTCTCAACACAAACTTCCACCGGAAGAACACCCACGGAACAGCACATCTTTTCTCCTTCATCTATTTGCTTCCTTTCATTTACAAACAACAGAGCATTTCACTATAAAGCGACCACTACAAGATCACCACAGCAAACCAAAACGGGTGTTTGTGACCGTATGCAACACACAAACTCTGACACAAATCACTGTACTGTGACTCAAACACACATAAACAAGATTACTGACTTTGATTAATGCAACTCAAACTGTCAATGCCATGTCCCTCTATGAAAATACCACTGATGCTTTGCAATATACTCTAACTTCACTGCAAACCAGACGAACCGATGACCTGTCTGGAGCGGCTAACAGTAAAATCACTGGTCAGATCCTAAGGGACGAACAGCCATAATGATTTCCCCTCTAATTTAAGTAATTGATGTAATTATAGACTTAAACAACTACATTTTCACAAGGTCAGTTACAGTTCTTTAGTATTTCAGTGGCTGACTTGAACTAGCAAAAAACTTAAGGGAAAGCACTAAAAAGGCTTTATGAATAAAGGAACCAGATATGATTCGAAAATATCATTATCTACCATGAGCTTTATGTTCTGTGAAAATTAGTTTTAAAGATTCGAATGCAATTACAGAAATACATCTTAACAAAAGGGTAACTCTCCTTAAGCTACAATATGGGTCTTCATTAGGAAACATATTTTCAGCAAACGTTCTTGAACAAACTGCCTAAAGATGTTCATATTTAATTGACTTGCTCACATTTCTGCACCGTCTTGCAACAAGTCTGGGTCAAGTCTGCGCATGTAGTCGCCAGCCAGCATGTCGCCATTCACAAACCGCTCTGCAACTCCATCACGTTCTTCAAACTGGTGAAAAGGTGGAAACTATCTGTGAATGTCTGTTTCTTTGAAATGACAATGGTCACTTAAGAGCAGAGAGAGTTTTTAAAGGCTGAACTGAAAGAAAGGATGTCTGTAACTGTAGTATATGTAACTGGGTAAATGTAAAGGGTATAGCAATGATCAGAAAGTTCTAGACTTCACTACACAGTCCGAGAATGAAGAGGGGGGTTACTTTGCAGTACCCTGAAATTATCTAGTGAGTGATGAGGAAGAAAAGAGGGAGTGACACTGAGGTGGGTACAGAATTACTTTGCCATGTACAAAGTGACAGACCATAAGATCTGAAGTACAACAACATTCAAGAATGTTAAATGATAAATGTATGGATGCATATGTGTGTGTATATATATATACATATGCATCATTCAACATTCTTGAATATTGTTGTGCTTGTGCAGATCTTGTACAGCATATATATATTATGGCTGCACGATAAATCAAAATGGAATCGAGATCGCGATTTGACAGCAGCTGTGATTGTCATGCGTATCTTTCAGTGAAGCACGGTTCTGTGATCAGCAGTAAATCTCCATCCGAAGGCCAGAGGGCGCTCTCGCGCTGAAACTCCAAATACGCCTCGCAGAAGAAACCCAGAAAATGCCTATTGCTGCAGCTGAATAAACAGACGATTCAACTGGGCTGCGTTCAGCCCCGACAAAAACGGTGCAAAACGTTTTTTTAAACTGAAACGGTGGTGCGTTAAACACCCTGTTCTGATGACGCAAGAGTTGCAACTATGGCAGCTGAGAAGGCCATTCTTTGTGCTCTTTTTGAAGAATTTTCGGAACCTGATGAAATCGGTATCAGTCCGAGAATGAAGAGGGGGGTTACTTTGCAGTACCCTGAAATTATCTAGTGAGTGATGAGGAAGAAAAGAGGGAGTGACACTGAGGTGGGTACAGAATTACTTTGCCATGTACAAAGTGACAGACCATAAGATCTGAAGTACAACAACATTCAAGAATGTTAAATGAATGGATGCATATGTGTGTGTATATATATATACATATGCATCATTCAACATTCTTGAATATTGTTGTGCTTGTGCAGATCTTGTACAGCATATATATATTATGGCTGCACGATAAATTGAAATGGAATCGAGATCGCGATTTGACAGCAGCTGTGATTGTCATGCGTATCTTTCAGTGAAGCACGGTTCTGTGATCAGCAGTAAATCTCCATCCGAAGGCCAGAGGGCGCTCTCGCGCTGAAACTCCAAATACGCCTCGCAGAAGAAACCCAGAAAATGCCTATTGCTGCAGCTGAATAAACAGACGATTCAACTGGGCTGCGTTCAGCCCCGAGAAAAAAACGGTGCAGTTTTTTTAAACTGAAACGGTGGTGCGTTAAACACCCTGTTCTGATGACGCAAGAGTTGCAACTATGGCAGCTGAGAAGGCCATTCTTTGTGCTCTTTTTGAAGAATTTTCGGAACCTGATGAAATCGGTATAAATGTGTTTAATACTGCAAAATACGCTGAATGTTACAGTCACTGTCCTTGCATATATATATACACACACACACACACAATACAATATAATAAATATATATTAATCTCTGTGAAAGGTAAATTTCTTTAGCTGCCCAAATAAGGACATAAATGTGTCTTTCAGCTGGAGAGTCTTTTTCTGTCATTGAAAATACTGAAACGCTTCCAGGATTTAAAGTGTCTAACGTCTTTTTACGATTTTTATGAATTACCCTTCTGCCACAGTGCCATCCAAACTCATGCTTTAGTATAGTTGTGTTGTTTGTCCTTTACTGTGGGAAGATAAACAACTGCAAGAACAAACCTGCCTTTCACATCAAGATAACTTCAGGCATTTATTTTGGCAAAGGGAATCTGCAAAACCTCAAGATGGAGGGTCAATATTGCATGTACACAATAACAATAATTAAAAATAAACAAAATAACAATACAAAACAAAAATAATGCAGGGGCAATTTCTACTCAAAATGACAGGAGACTGTCAGGTCCCATTTCTGGCTAGTAGAAAAATACTAAGAAATGTTTTAGCTCAAAGCAGTTCAAAACACTTTATCCGCAGAAGCCACTAAGTGAAACATGAAACGTTTTATTTACCTGTATCTACAGGAGAGATATAATGTCTTATGCTACTCTTGCTCAAGTTGCTGAGAAAATGTTTTTGTTGTACAGTAGCCTACTGGATGGCTTCAAATATGAGATGTTATTCGAGACCCAGCATGGCAGTACAGGCGCGCATCAACTTGTTCTCATAACAGATAAGATATGGAGCCATCTGATGATGAAAGCTAATGAGATCCCACAGCGTCCTCATATGTAAACCCTACACTGTACACAACAACATTAGATGTAAGATGTACACCCTAATGTACACAACTGATAAGAAAAAAAACTAAGAAGAAATGTTATTTCAACAAAAAAGCATCAAATATGAAGTGTCATGCAGGGAATTCTGGGAGTGTCAATTTACGGTTTTTAACTGTAAATTATAGAATGGCTTCTTTTTCACTTCCAAAAACCGTATTTTTAACAGTATTTTACTGTAAAATTACATTAAATGTAATTACATTTATTCACCGTATATAGTATGGAAACTTACTGTTAACAGGTTTTTACTGTAGCATTTTTACAGTCTTTTACTGTTAAAATCACAATCATTTTTTACAGTGTAGAGAAAAATCTAGTCAGCCTCAGTAAGAGGCAAATTCAACATTTAAAACAAATTGCCCAGTCAAAGTGACTTTATATACATTTCAAATTAATTTCAAGAAATTAAATGATTCAAGGCAAGGAGCAAAAAAAAAAAAAGTGTGTGCACAAGAAGAGAAAAGAAAATGAAATAACCTAAATGGTAGGCTAGACTGTACGCGTTTCTGGAAACTTAACTCCACTGTCATCTAACTCTTCCCAAAAAGCGTGTTTTATAGTGTACAAGTGTTTTTATTCAAATTCCATAAAACAGCAAAGCACTTGTATTTTATTATAGACGAACATGCTGGAGTCCATTTACAGGCGTTCCTCACCTTCATCTTTCTGGAACAAATCCTCTCTGAAAAGAGTCAATCCCAGATCTGATTCAGAAGTTCACAAACGCAGGCTCCCAAACAGTCACTGGACGCAACTCCTCATTTCGTCCTCTGTCATAGCCTTTGGGGTTTTCAATAAATCACTCGGCTGTTACTCAGTTTTTCTTTGGTCTCGTCCGAGAATCGTTTGCAATGAGTGACAACGCTCAGCAGAGACGCGTGCTCGTCCTCAAGATGATTTCGTTAAGTAACATAACGTTTAAGACTCATTTACAGACCCAACGAAGCGATTTCCGACCGAGTTCGTCTGTTTGTCTTCTGAAAATCCCACCCGTGCGAAAAGAATGTAAAGAACAAAAACTTTTACCTCAATCTCTACTTCGGTCGGCAGTCCTCGCAAAGTCAAAACTAACCAAACCGTTCAAATGCGACTCGCGGTCCTCTGTATAAATTGTTATAGCCTCCGGAAACTACGCTTGCATTTGTATCTTGTCACTGGTGTGAAGATAGTCCGTGTCGTCGGCCTGCCCCAGCACTTCAGAGGATACAGCGGGATTCCGCACTCACGGATGGAGGAGTGTGTGTGGGCAGAAAGACCTGACTCCCCCTCCATCACTAACACCTCAGGACGACCAAACAGCTCACCCAGTGCATCCTGGGATTGTAGTTTCTGTCACACCGAGCCCCTCTTAAAAATCCTAAAAAATCAATGGCATTCTACATTTTAAATATAGCTACAACATTATTATATTATATTATATTATATTATATTATATTATATTATATTATATTATATTATATTATATTATATTATATGTGTCCCTGGACCACAAAACCAGTCAATTTCTTTGAAATTGAGATTTATACCTTATCTGAAAGCTGAATAAATAAGCTTTCCATTGATGTGTGGTTTGTTAGGACAGGACAATATTTGGCCGAGATACAACTATTTGCAAATCTGGAATCTGAGGGTGCAAAAAAATCTAAATACGGAGAAAATCGTCTTTAAAGTTGTTCAAATGAAGTTCTTAGCAATGCATATTACTAATCAAAAATAATTTTTTCATATATTTACGGTAGGAAATTTACAAAATATCTTCATGGAACATGATCTTTACTTAATATCCTAATGATTTTTGGCATACCTGTGCCATACAATATACCTGTGCTACTTATGACTGGTTTTGTGGTCCAGGGTCACACACACACACACACACATATATATATATATATATATATATATATATATATATATATATATATATATATATATATATATATATATATATATATATATATATATATATATATATGTGTGTGTGTGTGTGTGTGTGTGTGTGTGTGTGTGTTGATGTTCAGGGTCACGTATTATATTGAAAAACTGAGACCAAAAAGTTACAGACTGGTTAAGTCAGGTAAATACAAAAAATAATCATTTTGACATTATGCATGAACTACCTATTCTAAATGCTTAAAAGACATTGCTAGATACATGGAATGACTGATAAGTCCCGTTTCTTTATCCTCTGTAGATAAAGCTGTTCCGTCCATTCTTTGTGTTTGTGACAACAATGTCCACACACCCCTGACACGGTTTGTGTTTGCATAGTAAAGATGACCACAACAAAGTTAAGAGCTTGCAAATGTATTATCTCAACAGCAGGAAAAGGTTTGTTCAAACTCCAGATAACATCTCCTGTTTTATTCAAACTCCAATTAGTTTGGAGGTACTATAGTATAGAAAACATCCGTGGATTCTTGAAGCGTCTGCTTAAGTAGCGGCACGGCCATTGTTGGGGGCCCGTAATGAAGGGGGCCCCACCAAGGTCCTCTATGTTAGATCCTACTCAGTAAGCTCAGGAGAGAGGATAAAATGTTTGTCCTGTGAGAAGCAGAGACATTTTTCAAGCTATTTGATTAAAATGAAAATAAACATCTTAAAAAGTAAAAACATTACAATAAAGCAAGTCAAGTGTGATGCATTTCATTCTGAGAAACAACCAAACACTTTCCTCTGAAATTCCAATTTTGAACATTGTTTATTTGTTTGGCAGTGTTCTATTCACAGTTGTAAGGTTTCCTCACAGGGCTTGAGGTGACCATTTTCTCTCTACTAAAACCTTTATTGACCCAATTTGCTCTCCAAACAACAGCAAAGTCCAAGAGGGAGACGACGGCAGACACCTCCGCAATGGGTGACACACCACTCATGTTCCAAAAGGGCCCCAGGACTAATGTTTCCTTGTCTGTTTTCTTTTCTTTTGACACGTTTTATTGAAACATCAGTTACTTTAACATTATTTTCCCAGTGACAGAGAAATGACTATATACCCCTTCTGCCCATTAGACCATCAAATGGTTTAGTCATCCCTAACTCCACTTATGAGACCAGATGCTGGTACGACTCGAAAGATACATTCTCTGAAATGAGGAAGTGTTCCTCTCAGCTTATTTTCCACAATGGCAAAGCCTATGAATAAATCTAACTAATTGTCTGTTAGGCCCCCTCTTGTTCTTTTGGCAAGCAAGCAGGCAGCTGAATCTGAAAGGGTCCCATTGACTTACTAAAGGGGGCTTATCACCAAATACAGCAATGAATGGAGGTGGCAATGAGGTGTGAACCGACCTCAGTGAGAC